TGACCTCTCAGTCGACAACAACCTGGCTGCAACTTTATGTAAAAATAATTTTAAAAAAGAAGAAGAAATACTACATGTATTAAAATACTGAAAAATATGCTTTTTATATGTAATAATATATTTTTAAAATTATACTACATGTATTAAAATACTGAAAAACATACGTTTTATATTTAATATATTTTTAAAATGTCTATGTGTATGTATATATACGAAACGGTGAGTACAGAGTGTTAACGTTGTTATTATTATTATGATTTTTATATAAAATAGGGTATTTTTATTTAATAAGTTGTGATATAGTTTAAATATATATTTATTCTATAAAATAAACAAAAAAATTGGAAACGCGAAAAAAAGTAAAAGTAGTTTTTCGTGCTTAAAACGTCGCTATTAATTAAGTGTTTTTGAAGTCTTTTTAAACAGGAGCCACACAGTGTTCAGATTTCCAATGAACTTTTAACTTTCTACAAAATAAAAACCATATCAGGTTTCACACCTCGGTGTTCACTGTTTTACGTGCTTCACGCGGTTATTTCAAAAAAAGGTAAATATTTAAAACAAAAAACAGGCTCGAAATAATAATTAAAAAAAACAACATAGATATATATATTTTTTTGTATTTTTTTTGTCCCCGTGTCGGTTGCTCTTGACATATCCCACATCTGAGTGTCAGTGTGTGTGTGTGGATGTGGATCACAGACGTTGTTCCATCAGCTGTGTCTTCTCTGTGTGTCCGACCGCAGACCATGCCCTCCATGAGCCCGGACAAGCCCGCTCTGTGTGCCGGCTGCGGTGGAAAGATTTCGGACAGATACTACCTCCTAGCCGTGGACAAACAGTGGCACCTGCGGTGCCTCAAATGCTGTGAATGTAAACTAGCGCTGGAGTCGGAGCTTACGTGTTTTGCCAAGGATGGGAGTATCTATTGCAAAGAGGATTACTACAGGTAAGAACCATCCGGATCGATCCGTTTACTTCATCCCATGTCGTGTCGCTCATCTAGTCCGGAATAATGGGTTTATGCCTTTAATGCAATTACTCATGCTCTGTGACGCTCGTTGTGAGTTAGGTTGGAGTTAAAGCCTTAGTTGAAAAATACAACACTCCTTAGTTCTGATTCAACAACAAAGGCTGTGACTGTTTGTCCAAATCACATCGATGCCAATTAGACCTCAGATATATATATATTTTTTAAACAAAACAACCCAAAGCCTTGGTGATATAATTAAACATGATCCTGATCTCAGTTGATTATTTTATGACAGAAATGTTGGTTTTTTTATATATCCCTTGAATGTAATTGTTCTAGAACTCTTAGTGCGGTGCCAACTGTATAAATGGCTCTCACAGAAACAAAGAAGCCAGTGTGCCCACACCATTTTTTTTTTTTCATTACAAAGAATCCAACCTAGTTGCCCTTTGTCAGCCTGTGCACTACAGTGTGGCTGCTTTGGAACAACTATTTGCAAATATGTCCCGGGTGGAAAGACGTGTTCCTGTCATTTAACACGATCACAATCGAATAACGGGTCAGGACCGAGGGGTCAGAAATGAGGGGGGATCTGACAAATTCACTTTAGGCTGTTTCTTTAATTCTATTGCTTGAAAATGATGTGTAGCTCACCAACATACACTCCCAGTAATGTATGTTGACGTGACATTATTTCCCCTTTTACCCTAAAGCTTCTAGACATTTATTTTTTTAGACAACTCGTTTATATGTTTTTAGTGGATAAAAACCTCATAAGCAGTGACTTGTGTTATTTATAACTGATATGTGTAAACGCAATTTAAAAAAAAAAATGGTACTGCAGATAAAAAGGTTGAGAAACATATATATCAACATATAGATTATGTGGGCCTTAAACCAAACTAAAGCAGCAAAGTTGAAAAAATATTCAGGCAAGAAATGTCAAAAATAAATTCCTATGTTGATTTTATTTTTTAATTCCATTTATTTATATTTTTACGATAAACGTTATAAATCTGTCGTTTCACTTTTTCACTTCTGTGTAATTGTTATTTATGAAAAAGTGTATTTTTTAATTTTTTGTCAGAACTTTGCTCTGATAATAAAATAGTGAGACACACAAAAAAAATCGAACATAATGTGAAAATTAGATTTTTATTCAAAATACGTCTAAAGAAAATGCTAATGTTAACGTTAATGTGTTAAGATTTTGAAACTTGTCCGACATTAATCTGAAAGAATGGCTTCAATGTCATAATCTTTAAGAGAAAAAAGTGTTAAAATTCGTCTGAGAAAAAAAATCTAAAAAAGTAATCTAATTAATATGATTGCTTGTACATTATAATATAGCCACAATCGTGGGATAAAGGAGTCAAAATATTGAGATTAAGGTCTGACTTTAATTTTTAAATAAAAATCAGTTTCTTAAAAAAATACACGTGGTCCTAATCCTCTTTGTTTTACTTAGACTGGTGTGTTTAATGTAAAATTATGCAAATTTACGAAAGACAAAAATTGACACTAATCAGAATACGACGCGCGGTCACGTGACGTCGTAATTAGCTCGTTAAGCCTGCAGCGTTACCTCATTATAACACACCCACAAACACGCGCACACACCTGGTGTCCGTTGCGCACACCTGTGTCTGTCGGCGTTGGTGGTGTCATGTTGTCCCCTGTCATCCCGCGTCTTTTGTGTCCCCTCTGCTCTGTGTATGAGAAAATGTCCTGACGGTGTGTCTGTTCCAGAAGGTTCTCCGTGCAGAGGTGCGCTCGCTGCCACCTGGGCATTTCCGCCTCGGAGATGGTGATGCGGGCCCGGGACTCTGTGTACCACCTGAGCTGCTTCACCTGCACCACCTGCAACAAGACCCTGACCACTGGAGACCACTTCGGCATGAAGGACAGCCTGGTCTACTGTCGCCTCCACTTCGAGACGCTGGTGCAGGGACCCGAGTACCACCCTCAACTCAACTTCGCCGAGCTGGCGGCCAAGGGCGGCGGCCTCTCCCTGCCCTACTTCAACGGCACCGGCGGCACCGCGCAGAAGGGACGGCCGAGGAAGAGGAAGAGCCCGGCCATGGGGATCGACATACCGAGCTACACAGGTGAGGCCACCGGAAGCACTTCCACAGCTGGGCAATACAGGATAACGGATATATATACATATATATAAAAAGAACAAAAAAGACTCGGTAACATAGAATATATATATTGTTTCGGAAAATATGACATGAAAATCGTTTTAGTTAAACCGCTTTAGATGACAACTGTGACGCAGTTAAAAATAACTGAGAAATATAACAATATGGCGGAAAGAATGCTATTAGCATAGCAATGGCTAATAAATGAACGTAAGTGAATGACTCAGCTATTTCAATTCTGTTTTTTTATTTATTACATTAGGGTTATTATTTTATCATTTACCATTAATGAATATTTAAATATTTGTTAAAGTTTCAAAACAGTACACAGTATTACAGTATTCTCATTAACGAAACCACGGAGCAGATGTCTAGTATATTATGTTATTCTCCACTCAAATATGAGGTTTTAGTCAAACTCTTTTTTTTTTCAGAAGAAAATCCAATTTAGAGTTTTTTTGGTTACTCCGTTAAAAGGTGTTACTTAAAGGTTAAAGTCAGATAGTTAAAGATAGTTTTTAATCTTACGTTTTTACTTATTTTTTTCATAAAATAGATAAAATCTACCTACACATTCTTAGTATTTTTTTTTTTGTATTTTAACAACCACAGTAAAAAAAACAACTTAACATTTAAGTGTGTTTTTATGGCTCTTGACCTATACATTTGGATTGTAAGTTGATTCAGCGTTATCAAATGTTCTTACCTCACTACCCTTAAAAACAGAAAACCATTGCACCCCAGTTTTCTTTGCCAGTCACAATTATTGCAATTAAAGAATGTGTATATTTACTTTAAAAAATATCCTTTGACACAAAGTCAAAATCTTTCCTGTTGAGCTTAGTTAATATTCAGGAGGACTATAAACCATTATCTGGAATAAACTAGTTTTAGAAAAGGGCCAAAAGATTTATTTAATGACAAATAATATTTCTATGACCTGTATGTGGGTCGTAACCCACTCTTTGGGAGTAACTGATATGAAATATAATTTTGTGCGTGTGTTTTTTTTAACAACATGCCATGTTTCCCTGTGTTGTAACAAAGTCATTAACACCAAATATTGAGGTAATTGGTAACTTTGAAAATGTAATTATTTGACAGTAAAAACATCTCTTAAATAATTCTTAGTATTATTTATTTAGGTCTGGTGGGATTATTCCTTCAAGATTTAACATTAAATGCATTTTGCATGTTGGCAATATATTTATAATTAGTACAGAGTCCTTTTTTATAATAGAAGAATCCTCACTTTCCTCTTTTGTCTATGAAGATTAGATATTAGCAGTTATTTTTGTTAAATAATAAGGATTAGTCTTTTAAATATATTTATGACGCACCTCCAAATCCCAACTTAAAGATTCTACACTTTCCCTTCTTTCCAACTGAAGCACATATAGTGTATGACATAAAATATGATTAAAGTATAATTTAAAACGATTAATAAACACTACTATCACACAATATTAGACATGTCACAGGACAGCTTGTAGTGAAAAGTGGTGCAAAGTGAACACCTGGTTGCCATAAAATGGTGTGAAAAATAGTGGACCCAAAAGACACACTTTAAACATCGTAATAGTTTGGGCTAAAAATTATATTTTCTAATTTTCAAGGTTAAATAGATATGATTTTTTTGGTAGTTCATTAATACCTTTAGTTTATTTAAATACAAAAAAAGGTGGCAAACGTCAATTGTTGTGTCCAAAATCTTTAAAGTAATTACTTTTATGGGGCCAAAAAACAAGAAACAGAATTACATTTCAAAAACCTCATTCAGAGAATCTGTTTAAAGTTAAGGAAATACAGAAAAGGGTCTTTAATTGTAATAAAATTGTAATTGTAAAATTAATAAAAATAAAAAGGACCACCAAATACAGACAAGAATGTAAAAAACAGATTTTGTTTGTTAGACAAACAATACAGCATTTTTTATATCATTCACATTTAGAACCTCAACATATTCATTTTTTGTCTTGTTTGCCTGAAAGACATAACAGATTTATCACATCACCCCCCCCCCATCTGCACCCCCAACACTATAAATAAAAAGGAAGAAAAAAACGTCAAATTTGTGGGCCCCAACCCAGCCTTTGGGAACCACCACCTTTAGACAATTCAGCTGATGTCACTGCATACATTATCTTCTCTCACCGACTTGTATGTTCAACAAGAACTACGACTAAAATGAATGGAAATATTTAAAAGGTGCCGAGTTTGTTGTCAGTCGAGTGGATGCGGGTCAGAGTTCAGGAATGTTTCGTTGAAAAAAAAAATCACGCCGAACACACACGCGCTCTTGTACACACACACACACACACGAGCACGACCACGGTTCATACTGGGCTACTGTTAAATGTAGGCTTCATCCACTATCTCGTCCTGACCCTCGGAGTGTTATAATGCGAAGCCCCCCCACCACCACCACGCACAGACACACATACACACACCACTCCCCCGCAGCGTCCCCATTTTGTCGTCGCTTTGTGCGCATTAGTGTGCGCTTGAGAAAGTTTGTCATTGTGCGCCAAGTTCGCAGTGTTCGCAGTGAATGCGGAAGAATAAGGGTAATCTGCGCGTTAATTGTTCTGCCTTAATTGGAGGTGACGTTGGAATCCACGGCCTCCTGTGCCGCAGGTCAGCGGTTCGGTTCTCAGGCGAAGAGACACAGATAGAGAACAGCACTGTACAGTCACACACACACACACAAAAACTCAGTCTGCTTTTGTTTGTTTTTTTGTTGTTTTTTTTCGAGACAAAGCTCATTGAGGTTGAGAAAAATCCTGCCGTTCTTTAAGTTGTAAAAATATCCTCGGTAAAGTCACAGTCTGCAGGGTTTTAAATGAAGAATGGAGCTGTTGTAAAGTCAGACTTGTTAAATTGTGACAGACGAAGTAAAGAGAGACAACATCTCTGTGAACTCATTATCAGGCAACGCATACAGACACATTTAAAGGCCCACTGGGAATATTTTATCTGTCATTTGGGAGATTTCTGTTTTATTATTTAATACAACAGAACAGAATAGAACAGAAGGAGTTTCTTTCAAATACTAATTTGCTTTCAATCCAAAGTGCCATTTCAATAATATAGATAGCATTCATTTAACATCTATCTCTCTGAATACCTTGGAGTACTCTCTTGAGTCAGACAGTCTGCTTTTGTTTGTTTTTTTGTTGTTTAGAACCAAACTGCATTAAAAAAAAAGACTCCAAAAGGTGTTTCCAACAAAAGCATGTGTTTTTGCACATCAGAAAAATCCTTAAAAGGACGAGGAGTTTACAAGGTGCAGTGACTAGTTCACAGAGAGCAGGATGGATTTTACAGACGGAATGAGTGTTTTTGCAACTGGCTTTAAAGGCCAGTGGAGATTCATATCTTCTTGTACTTTCTGTTCTTTCTCAAATAATAATAATACTAATAAAAAAAACATAAATTAATATATGAAGCTTCACCTTAATTTCTCTCATAAAAACAGCCTGATTTTCTAACTAACACACACTCTACTAAATATATACTAGATGGATTAACTAGATTCAAATTTCTATTGGAAAAAAAAAGACAGGAAGATTTAAAAATGAAAAAGCCTCTGAAATCACTGAAGGGAAATAAAATGATGATAAATTAGTCATGACACATCTCTTTCTCAGCCTGTTTTCCCCTCTCTTTGTTGTGCTATTTTTCCCCTCTCTCTCTCTTCATGTTGGATCAGGAGAATCTCGTTCATGACAAATAGGATGAGGTTTTGTTCACTGTTTTGTTTCTGCTTTAGTGAGCACATTCATATTTGTTTTCACCAGGGAGGTGAATGTGTGTGTGTGTGTCCACTGAGTATTCCTCCTCACTCTGAAAGCTTGGGTCTTGTTTGGATATAGAGACCCCTAGTGGGTAATATCAAGTGAAACACAATTCAGTGAAGAACTACTGTAGTACTGCAGAAACACACACAGTACACGTGCAGCGTGGTTATGTTAATGGATCCTTAAGTCACACAGTCACAGGAGGATTTTCTGCTGCCACAAAACACATTCATCACTGAAACATGTACCTCAGCACAATAACACACACATGGAGAACGTAGCCTGCAGTTTGTGAGATCTGCTTTGTAACGTGCTTACCATTGAGACTGGATTGTATTCAGGCAAAAAAAAAAATCTGACCAGTATCAGCTTAGCATTACCATACTTGGTGTTTACAGAGATTAATGTAGAAAAAGCCCATTCTGAATTTTAATGAAATGTCTCTTTCTCTATTATGAAAAATTAATTATTTAACACAGTGTTCACCCTATTCAGTTGCAGCAGTGAGGTTATCTTTAATACTAATTAACGTTTTTTTTTATGTGCGTAAAGCAAAATCCTCGTGTACTCCTTTAGTACAGTACGGCAGTTTTATTTCTCATTTACAATAAAAAAAAAAACCCTCCACCGTCTTTAAGCGTTTTACACACTACCTTCTTGACAAATGAGGCCCATTAGGCCTTTTAGTCTGCATGGGTTTTAGTAACACAAAATTTGCCCACTTCCAATAGTGCAGTGAAAATGCATCTTTTGTTTAAAAAAAGTGTATTTTTGTATGCAGTAGATTGTTGTAGTCTAAAGGTACAGTACTTTAAATATACTGAGTCATTCCTGTTCTTTAAACAGCAGTGTTATCACATCATGGAACAAACTGATGTTAACTTATCTGGTCAAAGTCTGTGGAAAAGTATGAGCTTCTCTGCAGGTCGGGTGGTAAATTAAATGGAAGCTTGACGTTGTGGTTTTGATTCCATTCTCTATTACTCTTCTGAGCAATTACCTTAATGGAAATGCTATGTCAAGTACAGAGCATTAAAACCATTATAATTGCACCTTCATGCTCTGTTTTTGTTTTACCTCACGTCATGATGTTCATGAAACAAATCCAATAGAGGATCAAGAATCTCTACGTTGTAGCTATTTTAATCAACTGTTTTTGGATTGATTTACACTTTAATGTGAAGCCAGACATAAATTCTTAAAAAAAAAATTAAGTTTGACTTTTTTATATTTTCCAAAAACAAGGTTTCGATAAAACAATCTATTCTTATCCGAGTCTTACAGTCAAAATTTATTTTCCCCGTCACTTAGGAAATTTAAACCGTTACATTTGTGTTGTATGGTTACGGCAACTTTGAACAACGCCTGTGTTCTGCTCTGTGCCCCGTCAGGCTGTAACGAGAACGACACCGACCACTTGGACCGAGACCAGCAGGCCTATGCTCCAACACAGAAGACCAAACGCATGCGGACCTCCTTCAAACACCACCAGCTGCGGACAATGAAATCCTATTTTGCCATCAACCACAACCCAGATGCTAAGGACTTAAAGCAGCTGGCGCAGAAAACAGGCCTGACCAAGAGAGTTCTACAGGTAAGAAGAACCTTCTCCTTCTCACTGATGTGATCAGCTCCTGTCTGTGTCCACACCTCCCCCTCACCCTCCTCTCCCTCTTCCATACCCCTCCCATTATCTCACATTTTAGTCGTGATTTTTTTTTTTTTGTTTGTTTGTTTGGTTGGTCCATTTACTGTAGTCTTTAGATGTGTATCCAGGGGTTTTAGTTGAAATTATTTCAACATTTTAAAATAAAAAAAAATTAATCAGCCTTTAGAACAAAATTAAGTTTTTCATTCCTTATTCATTTGCTAATATTAATGATAAAGAGTGCACATGTCTTTTGAAATTAGATCTACAGTAGAGGTTCCACTGGGTAACGTTTGCCTCCATTATTTGTTTTGATTTGCCTTAAGTCCCACAGTGTTGTAGTCAGTGTTGAGGAGACCATAGGACAATATCAATATCATGTTTTCCTTGTTAAATGAGAGCAACTTGATGCAGTGTTAGCTGTGATAACTTGACTTGTCACATGATCCTACTCAAAATCAAAAAAGTAAAAGCCACACTGGGATTGGTTTGCAGGTTTGGTTCCAAAACGCAAGAGCCAAATTCAGAAGGAACGTTTTGCGACAGGAGAATGGAGGTGTTGATAAGGCTGATGGCACCTCACTCCCTCCACCCTCGTCCGACAGTGGGGCCCTGACCCCCCCCTCCAGTGCGGCCACACTAACAGACCTGACAAACCCCTCTATCACTGTAGTGACCTCCGTCACCTCTAGTTTGGACAGCCATGATTCGGGGAGCCCGTCACAAACTACCTTGACAAACCTTTTCTAACAATTTATCTCTAGTGGACTGGATTTTTTTTTTAATTTGATCTGATTTTTATTTGGTTTGTTTTTTTGCTTTTTTTTTTTTTTTTTTGCTTTTTTCCAGTTTTTATTTTTCTCCCTCAATTTACATTTTTATTTTTTTAAGTGACACCTTAAATCAAGCAGACACAGCTCCTTGGAAAGTACAGAAAGTGCTGTACTGTGTTCACAAACGAGAACAACAAGCTCAGTCGCAGCCACATTAAAAATTATTAATGTGTAGCATTTGGAACGGCAGACAGACGTGTCTGGAGTCGGTGCAGAAACTGATTTTGGACAAAAGGCATTTCTGAAGATGAAGGCATTTATCAAAATTTCTCATGTATTTCACAGTTCATTAGGAAAAAAAAGTGACTTGAAAAAAAAAACCATGTCTAGAAAACTAGTCTTACTTGATTTGACTTGATTTGTACATTTGTATTGAATTGAGATTAAACTGAATCCTTTCTAATTTATGAGTAATTGGTTAGCCTTGAATTAACATGAATATCTTGCCCTCGGATAAACCTGTAAATGTATGCACTGTGTTCGCACTCTTCGATTCAAAATCTTGTTTCTGTTTTGGAATAATTTGGAAAAAAATAAACTTGTAGAATGTTCTGTATATGGATAACTCCAGAAAACAGGCTTTAATTATTTCCGAATGTTTCGGCCTCTGAGGCTGAGGTGGGTGGAATCAAACGTACGGCATCACACGTCTAAATTTGCATCAAAAGTTCCCGACCAATCACGGCTCATGTGGCGGATGAGGCTAAAATGGCACACATTTTTAAAGCAACAAAGAAGCCGTAGTTCTGATGTGATGCAGTCGCAGTGACAGAAACGGCCTCATGGGTAGAAATCGCTGAGAGACGTTAATGGCTAATGGGCGCTGTTGTAGTCGACTGTTATCATGACAGAGCACTTCTTGAGATTTGGACACACACACAGACATACACACACACACACACTCATACAGGAAACATCCATAGAACCACAGCTAAACTCAGTTGCACAGTGACAATATATACTGCCCAGTGAAAAGTGCATTATTGTTTTTATCATGTTGCTCAGGGTAACAATGGGATTTTTAAAAAGGGAAAAAAAGGAGAAAGTGTGTAGAGGAATTCAGCGGCTGCAGCGTTGCAGATTTTTTTTTTTTTTTTTGTTTGAACATTCAATGACCTCAGAAAGGTGGAGTCGTCAGAGGCAGCCAGTGGGAAATTCATCGTCCGTGTGCTCTACTTTTCTGGCCACATTTCTACTTTTCTTTTAATGACACTTGCCACTGAACAGACCAAAAAACACGTCTTTTCTGGCCTAAAAAAAAAGAGTAAAGTAAGGAAGGTAGTAAGGAAGGAAGGAAAGATAGGAAGGAAAGGATTCAGTGGAGTTGATCCATTTCATTGTCGGCGTATCAGTTTGTTCTGCAGCGGAACAAAGTGGTACTGTAGATCTGCTCAGTGGAGCAGACGCCTAACTCAGTTTACCATGTGCCTTATGCTATAACCTGGGAGAAAGTTTGTGATATTCAGGATCTATGTGTTCTTTGTTAACTGACTCACATCCTTTTGACGCCTCACTAGTTTTGTACTGTTTTGCATCTTATTTCCGAAGATCTTTCTATGGTGTAATCCTGTTAAAAAAAACAAAAAACAAAAAAACAAAAAAAAACAACCAAGGAAAAAAAAATCAAAAAAAAAACAACCAAGGAAAAAAAATAACAAAAAAACAAAAGAAGAAGAAGAAGAAGAAAAGGTCCAAGAAAAAGGCAGGGGAGGGGGCGGGGCAGCGATGTCATAGAAAGCATTTGTGCACTCTTTCAGATATAGTTGGTTAATCCAAGAACCTTATATATTGATCTTCGTGTTAATAGTTGAGTACAGTAAGTGTTCTATCAAGATTGTCCATGTTTCCCTGTTTCTTGATAAAGATGGTGTATAGAAACTATTTCCCCTTAAATATTTATGGACCAAACGGTTGTTATATATCTTATTAAATTTGTGTGAATAAAATACTTTGTTTTAAATGGGTTTTATTTTTCATTATACACTTGCCATTTTTTTGTCTTCTCTCCTAAATACAGTCTTTGTTCCGTTGATCACAGACAGCATTTACTGAAGCTCAGTTAGACGTCTCCATGTTTAATTTCATTTTTTATTTCTATTTTTCTTTAATGATGTTTATGGTTTATTTCTTTATATATAAAGTAATGCCCCATGGATTTGCATCTAAACCCTGCAGTCTAAATTTGAATAACTGCTTTTTAATGCATGGAAATTTCTTTCAAATTTGACTTGAAGGAATGCTGCGAAGCATATATTGATATATTTGTCTGCATTGATGCATTACTCATTGGTGCGACTCAAATGAAGTGAGAGTAAATGCAGACCCAGTAAAGCCAGGTTGCTCTGTAGTTAATATATTCTTACTCTATCGTTTCTTTCAGGGAGAACAAATCTTGGGGCATTACAGCCATACATCCCGACGTTTGAAAATTCCCTAAAGTATTAAGAGAAGGGGAAAACTTTGATGGGAATTCATCACCATTGAAGACAAAGACAATGTTAGGATAAGATGATAGCAGATTAAAAAAAAACAACAACAACAGCAACAACACAATTAAACCTGTTTCAGATGCAAATCAACAACAGATGATTATTTTGTACAAACCCCCTCTCCCCAAAAAAAAAGTTTTTTCCCTGAATGTTTGAGTCCATCAGCGGAGGAGAGCCAACAATGTCTGATGTTGATGATATGAAAAAACAAACAAAAAAAAAACACGTCTGTATTGGATGGAAAAATGCAGAAAATTGTTATAAATATGATGTAACATAGTTCAACAAAAACAGCTCCCAGGAAGAGACTGTGATTAAAAGACAGCAGGCGTCCAACATGACAACAATGTGAAACTGAGACGGTATGGATGTTACTGAAAATAACACACACACACACACACACACACACACACACGTTCTCTCACTGCCTTGCTCCTATGTAAGCACACTATATACTGCACATTCCCACACTCTTTTATTGCACTATACACGCAAACTGTTCCACACACACACACACCCTCTCTCAGTGCTGCCCCCCACCGCTACACCCTCCCCCCGTCCCTCCCCACACCCGCCCAAGACTCAGCTTGCTAAATCGAAGTTTTCTTTTGTCACGAGTGTCGTTCCACAAACACATGGCCTCCTTGAAACTCGGCAGCAGGACGCCCGTCAAATGTGATGAGTGCATGAAGGGGACTGCAGAGCTGGAGCTTTGCCATCTGGCTGTACCGAGGGAAGGAAGGAAGGAAGGAAATGGAGAAAAAAAAAAAAAAGCAAACACAAACAAACAAACAAACAAACAAACAACAACAAAGAAAAAAAACCCAACCAAAAAAACAAAAAGAATAAAGAAGGGATTGTCCTTTTGCATGCGTCTCGTTGTCGTTGTAACCATTTTTCCTCTAGGATGTGTATTCTTTCATTTTGATTCGCTGTAACTTTCATTGTTCGCTGCAAAAATAATAAAGCATATAAAACTGAAGCCGTTGATGCTGCTCGCCGCACCCAGACGTCACTGTGAGGCGGAGCTGATTTGTCTACGTGACTCTTGCTGTACTTTACATCACAACTGATTCTGGATATTTGTGCCCAAGTCCAGTGTGTGTGTCTTAACGCTTCCACCCACGTATACAGCACCTATTACCATCATCTGGGATTTTTTTTTTTTTACAATTCATAGTGTACATATTTTTTTTATTACTTTTTTTTTAATCAGAAAGTGTGGCCACAAATATTCACGGACAATTTATCGAAGGGAACGCTTATTTACTCTCCCGGTGAAGGTTGTAATGCACTCATAAAATTGTAATATGTGCAGAACTGGCAGTAAACTCCAGCGTCATTACTGCGAGTGTGCAGTACAGAACGCAGTGTGATGTCAGAGGGTGTATTTTGGAAAAAGTAAAAAAAGAAAAAGAAAACAAAAAGGAATGAAAAGTAGGGGAGGAAAAAGAAAGGATCGGGGAGAGACTGAAGCCACATGGGGACCAGTAAACAGGCTGGTGTTGAATTCCAACAATGTGGGAAACAGCAAACACTTGAGTCAGTCCAAGAGGAAACCTCAGTCGCTGGGGTGCCTGCTCTCCGCATTCCCCGGGTCTGACGGTGGGCGCGTTGACACCAGCGAGCTGCAGGAAGCAGAAGTCGCAGCAGAAACACAAACAAACGCAGCCAGTCCTGCTCACGTTCTGGAGCTGACGGATGAAAATCCTGGACTACATCAGGGCCTGCGTGTTGACAGGAATTTCAGGGGCTTTCACAACACAAGAACATGCACGTGTGTGTATTTGGTTAAAAAAAAAAAAAAAAGTTTGCCCGCCTGTCCAA